CCAAAAAATTAATAGTTTAAGCAAAAAACGTTTGGTTCCATACTTTTTATTCACCTGGTATGTTTATTTACAATTATTTAGTAAAAGTACAAAAATTTTGCCAATAAAAGCCACAAATAACATTAAACAGAGTTACAATTTAGGATACAGCTTCCTTGTATCCGCTTCTAATAGCCTGTAGCAAAAAAACTTCGAAAATTATTTTTCCAGGAGTAAGAAATAAAGGCAAAATTTAAACTCTCATAACTTCGAAATTTTTATCGATAAATTTTTTTGTAATTTATTGTTTGTTAATTAATATTTGCAGAAGTCTAAATTTCTCTTGAAATGTGATTTAATTAAAATCAAACAAAACACCATCAAACACGTTTGTTAATCAAACTATACAATATAATAAAAAAAGTACAATTGTTTCTATTAGCTAAACAAGATTTAATTATTTTTTTTTAAATAGATAATCACATTTCTTTAATCTATTTATTATAAGTAATTTGTAGAGTTAGAGAAATAAAAAATGTCATTAATTTAGTTTAATATACGACTAACTTTAATACCAGGTGTAGTTTATTATTTTCTTAAAAAGTGTATATTTTTGAATACGAGCAAGTTTTAGTTCTCTTTGTTGTGACTGATTTAGTACAAAAAAGTGTATTTTTTCAACACTTGAAAACACCTCAATTTATTATCATTCCACTGAATTGAAGAGCCAAAAATATTTTCGAACACATAAGTCAGTCAAAAACTGGTAGAAAATATTTTCGTTGAAAAGTAAGTTTTCCTTTAAAAAAAAAAACAAGCATCACAGTTTTTGTCTATTTCCAGTTGTGACACATAAACCCAACTCTGTAATTTCATATTCATTAGTGACTAGATTTAAGAGAACAGTGCGAACGCAGCGAGTGGTGAAATTCATTATTTTACTTACCGAAGCAAGGACTCCACCGACAATGGCAGCATTGCGTTTGTGTTTATTCGCCGTTTTGTATCTGGTATACAATTTCCTACCGACCCAAACGGGAATACCTACAAAAAAAAATTTTTCAAAACATCCAAAAAATAGAATTGTTTGGACTTACCAATAATCATAGCAGGAACGGTAATACCCGCAACCAATGCTATACCAACGGGAGCACCCACCAGGGTACCCAACTGCCATAAAATTTTCTTCTTCCGCGACCAGGGTTTCTTACCCCAGAAGGTACACCCAGAGGGACTATAACCCAAAAATCAATTAATTAAAAAAATTCATTAATGAAATTTTTTTACCTGAGATAATGCAGATCGCTAATTTCTTTCATACACAGCCAACAGAATTCAGCACCGCAAACGGCACACATCATATGATTGCACGAACCATCGTCCATTTTGACGATCAAAACTTGACACCGGGGACAGGGTTTGATGTCGTCTCCTAGTCCAATAATAGTATATTATGATACGAGTTTTATAAGAAGCATTTTGTCGTGTTTAGGACACCACGAGCGCAGTGAGGAGTGTCATAAAGCAGTAACTGCGACAAAATGCCTTATAAACGAGATATCATACAGTATTTTTTCTACTTTGCACTTTTTTAAACAAAAAATAAAAATTTTGGAATGTAGGGAATTTTGTGGCTATGAAATAAATTCGATGGAAAAACGGTTAGGTCGCCAACATTATAAGACTAAATTTCCCTCTTTTTAGTATAATTTGTATAGCACTATTTTTGTTCATTACGAAACCCAAAACAGTTTCGTAATGGACGCAAAGTAGAAAAAAATTATAAAAATAAAATTCTTACGATGTTGTGAATCCTGACTATATGTAATAGAAGATGACCGAATATTCGGTGATCTTTGCGCACGCGCCGCATCACAGGTCTGATTGGGGTGCCATTCGGCCTTACAATGATAACAAAAATACGAATCGCAACCAGGTCTTAGACACTTCAATTTCGGACAACTCGCACATTCACTAGCTATCACAGCAAAACTGTAAAAATTACTATTAGAAAAGCAAAACTATACGAAATATTGGGGGATTTACCCGCAATCGGGGGCCGGACACCATCTTGCGTCCGGTTCGATCGCTAAAACTCGCCTAACCATAAAATCTTCGTACTTTTCAAATAGTGTAACATCATCGATGATACCACGTATTTCTGTAAAAAAAATATCAAGTGTGACAACAAGTACAGTGACTACAAAAAAGAACGTACCATTCGGATGTATCAATTCGGTACATTCCGGGCAAGATATACACACACGAGATTCAGTAATTTCAACTTTCAGATACTGCTGGAGACAGGGTATACAAGCACGATGTCCACATCCTGCCAATTCCCAAAATTCTTCAGCGGTTAATTCGGCGAAACATAACGGACACTCCATAGATACGGTAACTTCACCACTCTATAAAAGAAAGAAAAAATGAAAAAAAAAATACAAACGCAAGAAAAACTCGCTAGAAATATGCGTTCTAATTAATTCTATTAATAAACAACATGCAAACAGCGTGATAACGACAATTAAAAACAATTATCAGCGAAAATAATTATCTTGGACTGGTTCTAGGGTATTTCCAAATTTGTGGTACTAGAAGCGTAATTTATACTTGTAAAACAAGATTGAATGTAAAATAAGAATGAGAAAATTGAAGCACAAATGCTATTAAAAAAAAAACACTAAAATAGAGAAAAATCAGTAATTTTTTTTATTTTGTACTCAATGTTAAAGAGTGCGTTTATCAACTAATTTTAGTAGATAAAGTAGTCTTTTATCGTGTAGTGAAATAAAGTAATTTTTATCTACTGTTTATATTCAAGAAATTCAAAATAAAACGAAATATTATACACGACGATAAAGATTGTTTATCTTCTTGTATAATAAATAACTATAAAACAGTGATAATTAAAATGACATTTACAATAGAAAAAAATTCTTATATCGTATGAAAAATATTTAGTTTACTGAAAAAGTTTTCTTCGAAAAATCTGGTTAAACTCTGAATTAAAACACTGAATATTTATTCAAAAAGTGTTGACTAACCTAAAAACTTAAAAAAAATAATTATTATTTAGTTTATCGTCTCGTAATAGCCTTTTGTACATCTTATCATGTAATGTATAGTTATTAAAATTAAACAATAGGTTATAAAACTTGCAAAAAAATGTATAATAAATATTTTTATCACTATACAGGGTGCGCCAGAACTCGCGCCCCAGAGAAAAATGCCATATAAAGTAACATACTAGGAACATGGAAAAAAAAATTATCTATAAAAATTTCGAAGTTATGAGAGTTTAAATTATGCACTTTGACTCTATTTATTTCTGTTGGGAAAGTTTTTTTTGCTATAAGAGGAAACAAGGAAGCTATATCCTAAACTGTAACTCTGCTTCATGTTATTTGTGGCATTTATTGGCAAAATATTTGTACCTTTACTAAATAATTGTGAAAAAACATATACAAGATCATTAGTATCATTAAATAGACAAAAAAATGTCAAATGTCAACATTTTTTGACAGATAGATTTTTTTTTAAATTTTTCATGTTTCTGCTATCTTATCTTACTTGAAAGTTTTCTCTCTCATTTCATAAATGTCATGGTTTTTAAATTTATTGTTACTCTTTGCTAAGGTGTAACTTTTTAACAAATGAAGATAGAAAAAAATATATTTAAGCTTTCTTTTAAGAATAACATTTTCTATCGATGATTGACAATTGGCGGTTTACTTTTGAGACAGCCTGTATTAATCAGATGTAACATTATATTAGCAATTAGAAAGAATAAAAAACACAAAAATTATAGTCATCATTAGTAATTACTCGTATTTTCTTGTTAAAAAATGCTACAACTGAGTTTGTTATCAGCCCTCTGTAATCAGTAAATTTTAATTTGTGTCATTGTCGCTATTTATTTATTTTTCATTCAATTTTAAAATATATATTTTGTGTGAATTGTCGGCATTTTTTTAAACCAACCTATTAGGTTAATTAATGTTAATTTATTGTTATAATTCAGCAAGTTTCGTGACCAATGTCAACATTTTATTCAGGTTGATGACTCGTTTCAAACAACATAAATCGAAAACCTTGTGAGTATTTGAAGAAAGTGACTTTTTC